CCAATCACTCCAATCTCTGCCCTGTTCTGCAGCCATTCTCCTTCATGAGCTGTGTTAAACAGCTCTGTAACAGCATCGGGGAGCCTTGAGAAGCCCTGCAGAGAAGCCCTAGGGAGGAAAGAGTAAATTCAGTGATGCAGAATAAGATAAGGATAACAAGCAGCCTACAAACCTCAAAAAAGTGGTCCTTACCCCTGCTCAGCAGCTGAGCCATAGCAGAGCATTTGTGATCCTCACTGCATGGGAACATTTCTGCAGCAGGGAGGTCTGACATGGCCACAGGAGCTGCAGGTTTGTAACCTCTTGAGGAAGCGTTGTAAGTCATGCTCCTGCACATAATCCAACTGGAGAAAAACAGATGTGACAACACTGAAATGAAATCCCAAGGGGGAGAGAGAAATTGGGGAGCTTGTTAAGAATCCCACTGCCATCTGGAAGGCAGGAAGAGGCAGGCATCTGTGAGAAAGTGGCATCTCAGGGGAGAGCCTGGGTGCTTGCAGCTGGCACTGCAAGACGAAAGGATGAGGACTAGCTGATGGGCCTGGCCTGCCCTGGAAATCGGATGGGATGGTGAAAGGAAGGTTGGTTTTCATTTTCACTTCAGGGTATGTAGCAGAATCTAAAATAATCACCTCTGCTGATTGTTGTCCTTGGCAGGAGCAGTAACTTTGTGGCCCAAAGGATTTAACTGAAGATACAAAGGGGGAAATGAAAGCACATTGGGCTCTTGATTTGCTAATAAGAGTCTTTTGTGCTGCTTACTGGTTCAGAGCCATCTCCTAGGTCTTAACCCTTTACTCCTTAGTTGCCATGAAAACATGTTGTCTTCCTCGACTATGCATTTTTTTTCAGAGGTAAGAACCGTTCTTTTTGAGCTTTCGCTAAGCTCCCATCATTGGTGCTAAATCTGGGACATGGAGAGGGAAGAGAAGGCCTATGCCATGGTAACAGATGCCTTTGAATTAGTAACTGGTTTTCTAGTAACTGATATTTTCTGTAATTCAGCCCAATGAACACCAGCTTAACACTGGCCTTCTCTTATGGAAATGAAGGACAAAAGGCTTTTGCTTTTGGTTAGTCATGTAAATCCTCCGATGAAGCCTATTCTACCAGAAGGGTAGTAAAAGGCTGTGCTATAAATAGTGCTGTGTGTTTGGCTGCGCTGAGGCAGAAATGTAAGGTTTCATAGCCCGGATTTAGGACCCTGGTCGTTTCGGAGCCAGGGGCTGACATTTGCCTTTGTGCTTGTGCTCTGATGTCTGTTTTGCTTTCTGAAGCAGTCATTTATTTTAAATCGGTCTGAATACATGTTACATCCTGAGAAAGAATTGAGATCTGGCATAGACAAGTTAACTTGACTGTGTAATCTGGTCCAACTGTTTTTCCATAAAACATGCGGATTTATGGTGTTTTCTATCAGACTCTAGGAAAAAAATACAGGCAAATTCAACAGCATGTAGTGCTGATAGACATAAATATTTTAAGCCCCTGAGAAAGCAGCAATAGGCAGCTCTGCAAAGGATGCAAGCACCATTTCTGCAGTTGCTGCACAGGAGTATTTCTTACTGATTTGAATTAAGCTGTTCAGATCCAGCAGCTCCATAATCAGACACTAAATCTGGCATGACAATGACTGGATATGGTCTAATTGGGAGGATCAAAAACTTAATTAGTTAACAGGGGAAAAAAAGACATCTATAAGCAAAAAAGTAGCAGGAGTGATTTCTTCACTAAAGTATTTCATTTTTGTATGACTTATTATCCATCAGTAAACAAAACCTATTAGTGCAGAACATGAAAGGTAGAAAGTCACAGAAAGACAGATATAGATGCAATATATCCCAATTGTAAAGACAGACCCAGACTAGCTAAATTCTTTTCTCTCTCTATTTTTCCTTAAGAAATACTCAGAACAATCCTGCTGATTGTTATTGTCAACATTTTTCTGATCCTCCATATTACTTTAGGAGAACAGATTATTTTTTCATGTCCACTTTAGATTGTGGTCAGTATCCTCACAGCCATAATCAAAAGGAGGTTTTACATTACTCATATTTACTAGGACACATTTGTCTTTATTTATTCAAACGTATTTTGTTGCAAAATTCATCTTTATAGGTGAACAAATGGAGCTGGGTAGGAATGGAATAGATTTGCTTTACATGACATACAGATTAAGCATAAATTCTGTCCTTAAAATAGTGTTTTGTCATAGGATTTTTGTTTTCTTTGCATTCTGCATGTCATGTCACCCTGCATGTTCCCAGCTCCATGCAAGGAGCTCAGCACCATTTGTTCCCACGCTGTGGTAGCCTACAGCTGAATATGTTCTTGAAGCATGTTGAGCCACATAGGTGCCCTGGAGGCAACCATCTCCCTGTGAAGCAAAAGAGGACACTGCTGCCCTCAAGGCTTCTGGCTGCCCCAGGTTTCACTGCCTCAACCTCTCCCACCACCTCCATGATTCTACCCAGTCAACCTCTGCTCATTCAAGACCTTTACTCAGAGGATCTTTACTCAAATCTCTTCTCTGTCCAAGGGACTTATGAGTTTCAAGTGACACCAAGAGAGAAGGCTGATGAGGCCAGAGGAAGGGCCTGTCCGTGAGTCCCACCACAACACATGGGAGAGCAGATCCAGCCATATGATGCTTTTGAGCCTGCCTGGTGCAAGAGCTTAAGTGATAGCAAAATTTCATCATAAAACCTCAGACCACAAGTTTTGAGCAAGACCACAGTTAGGTGCAGCTGATTTTGTGGATACAACTTTAAAATGTGGCATCTGCAGCCTTCTGTAAGTTGAGAAAGGAAGCAGTGGAAAAGGGACTCAGACCTCCCCGATCCAGGACGGTGCTCTGTCAGAAGGCACAAGCCCTCTCTCCCCTCTCTGATGGCAACCCTTGGCTCCAGGTAACCTCTCACTGGAGCTCACACGGGAGTGCTGCACAGAGCCACTTTGTGAAGGTACTTTGCATAAGGACACAGCGTCAGCATGGGTCATTTGTTAGTCTTCGGAGTAGCTGTGGGGAGTTGTACTTAAGTGACTCTTTGCATTTGTCTTAAGCTGGTGAAAATATACATATTGTTCAAGGACAAGTCTCCTTCATTAGTCAGAACAGGAGACTTCCTGCTCCCAAGATCTAAGTGAATACCTGATCCAAGTGCTAAGGGTCTTTGCAGAGCAAAAAGAGTGATGTGTCATTAGAGATGAAGCAGGTTCTTGGTCCTCAGCTGCCATAGCAGCACCCATGGCTGCTGAAATAACCCTTTGAAGAACCTTTGAGCCTCTTTCCCATCCCCCTCAGGGCACTGTGGAATGGTTTTAATTGGAAGCAGATGTGCAATGTGGTAGGTAGGAGCAACCGGCTGCTCAATGTGAGCTCCTAGTAAACAACTCCTGTACAATCACTTTGAAAGGGAAAAATACCATGATTCAAGGGAAAGGGTTTAAAATGAGGCTAGTACTCACTGATGGTCAGCTGACTGGTCCATTAGACTTGCCAACACTCCTTACCAATTATTTGGAGTCAAGAATATTATCTTCTCTTTGTTGCTTGATAGATTTTGGATGCATCATTCATCTTCAATGAATGGGTCACAGAAAGATTTCCAAGTCATCACTTCCATTGCAAACACTTTTCCAGTAAGGTGGCCATGAAAGTCATAGAGATGTATCATAAGGTGTGACTGATTTTGGTTTGAATTAGGGAGGAACTTTTAGCTCAATATTAGAAACTTCATCTTGATTTCAAAAGGAATATTTGGGCTAAGTCTGGTTTCAGGAGATTTTTCAATTTTTTTCTGTCACAGTGGATGTGTCAGGTTACTGTCATCTAGTTTTGTGGAAGGTGGTGACAGCTGCATCACACATCTACAATTATCAAGATTCATAAGTTGTTGTACATCTGCCCTGCACTTCACTGAAACCCCTCTGTCCCCCAGAATCCCAGCAGCTATACTTGGACACAAGTAATCACTAGGCAATCTTCTGTGGCAGAAAATTTAATCTATAACTCCTCTGCTTTCAGATGCATAGGATAAACAACATGAACATGCAATATGGGACACAGGCTGAGAAAGCCTGAATCTAAAACTGCTTGTGCATTAAATCACTGGGAAAAAAACTTTCTTCAGCCTCATTCCAGCTACTGGAAAGAGGAGTTACGCTTTTGTGAACATAGGATCAATTTATACTGTGTCACCATGTCCTGCTCCTTACTAGCATTAATGAGCTTTTCATACCTTTTGTTTTGTTATTGCCCGAAAACTATTGAGGAGATTTTATTCCAGTACTTACTCTGGCAGGTTCAGTACCTTCCATGGGAGAACCCTTAGCAAGGCGGTGCTACTTAGCTAAGCAAAGTAAATAAACTTAAGGATTAAAACTTGACTGATGCGAATACTTCACGTGTTTTCTAAATGCAAGAAATTTAGAGAGAGTTGCAAAACAGAGGTTCTAATAAATGTCATTTCGTAGTTATAGCAATGAAGTTCCAGTTTTAAAGGTGGGAAATGTAGCTTACAGCAGACTGTGTTTTCTGGCTGTCACACCAAAACTGCAACTCCAAAGTCAATTTGTGTCAAGACAACCAGCTTCCCTGCTGGCTTCCCAACTGGGAGAAGCAGGAAACAAAACCGATTTAAAAAACAGAATGAAGCTCAGTCCATTTCGTTGTCTAAGTTGTTTAAAGGGAAAGAAAAACCAAAACCAAACAAAAACTACATGCTGATGAAATGGAAGACCAGAAGACCAAAGCTCTCATTTCTGAAAGCCCCCCTTTAAGTAACAAATTTAGTCTGGTTATTCTATGATGTTATTAGTAGAATTGCTAAAGGCATGTCTACATAAAAATCAAAGTGCACACGAGCCCAAATATTCTCTTTTATGGTATTTTGGTGACATAATTTCCTAATGTCTTGCTTTCAAAAGCCTAGTATTTTCCAGCGCACTGAATAGATTGGTTCCATCTCTAGCTCAAACATCAAAAAGTAACCTTCACATTCATCAATGAAAAGTGACAACTGGTTTTATTAACTGTATTCATTATAACACATGACAGTGGGAATATTTTTCACTGTTAAGATTTTTGAATGGAAGAAAAGTGCAGTTAGTCTGAGTTCCTTACATTCATTAGAAGCAAGACTATTGAAACCATCAACATTTACAATGACACATAAGCAAACACCAGAATCAGTGCCAATAAATACACAGAGTACCAAAATAAATATTTACAGAATTAAAAATATAGTAAACACTGATTAGTATATCCTTGTGAACTGCCAGGGAAGAAAGACATCTATTGCTATCAGTTAAGTTGTAAATACATTAAGAATACAGTGATTCGAGGAGACACATACTCATCAAAGTTTGTAGAAGTGGAAAGGAGCAGAGTGTGTCTAACAGTCTCTGTTATAAAAACACCCCCCCCCGGAATGTTGTAAGCTTTCACTAAGAAAAAGTTGGTGCACACAGACTAGCCAGATTATTACCAAACCTTTTAGATAAGAGGAGAGGAGAGTTCTGGCTTTACTCACTCATTACCTTGAATAGGTCATATGCTACCTTACTGGGGGTGGCTGACACAAAATACGAGGGAAAATTGTAATTAACAGTGATCTGTCAGCTATAACACGTCTTATAGAAACAGGCTAAGTGACTTCTAACAGGACACATACGTCCCTTTCAGCACGTAGGAAACACCAAGAGCATTGGTTTGTCCCATGCAGTGTGGAGCAGTCCCTGCTACCATTTCCTCATGCATACTATGACATTTAAGCAGAATTGGGTAGTCATTAAAGACTGAAGTCATGAAACACTGGATTTATCAAATCTGTATTTTCCACCAACCACATTCATACCTCATCCCCCATTTCAACAGGACCACAAGCTTCAACACTAGAACTTTTCTGAGGCAGATTCTACTAGCAGAGCAAGGAAAATTCAGATGGGATCAAATTATGGAATTTTCACTCAACCTTAATAACAACTGACACCGCTAACAGATCCACTGATTTCAGAGAGAATACTGGTGGAATAAGATATTGTCTAACTGTTACAATTTCACCCATGGCAGAGGATTTACTTTAATTAAAAAAAAAAAAAAAAAAAGGAACAGCTTTAGTCTTGCTCTCTCTTTCGAAAAGCAGGATAATGTTGCTTTTATCAAGCCATGTGCCTAGTACTTGATAGTGCTGCTGCACTGTGTGTGCCACACTCCCTCCCCACTTGTCCTTGGGCTGCAAGGGTGCAGCCAGAGCTCCCCACCCTGCCTAGGGCTTGGGTCTTCACATCTTCCTGGAAAAATGAGGATGGAAGAGCAGTGAGATGCCATGAATCAGTGCTGGGCTACAGAGGATTTGTGGACATTTCTGTGCTGAAACTATCTTTAGAAACTAAAACACTGGGCACTGCTCAGGTGTTGATGAAAGCAGTCATACTGTAGTCCACTGGCAGGAGCACTGGCTTCAGCACACGCAGAATCACACCAACTCCTAACCCAGTGTAACACAGCAATCCAAGCACCAACGCAAGAAAAAAAGGACACAGATTTTACAGGCATATGTATAAATCTCTTTTTCCACAAGGACAAGAAGTTCAGCCCTTGCTTTCATTCCATCTCGCAGACACTCTATCAACCCTCCCACTCCAGCACAGTACCACCACCCCGGCTTTTCCTGTTGTTGTCCAGCTGGGCTGACACCTGCACATGGTGACAGCCTGCACCTCTCTGCTGGGACCACATGGCAGGGTCAGACAGCAAATGCTCCCAGTAACTGGAGGTGCCTTGCTCCCCCAGTCCCCCAGGGTGCAGGTGAGTTAGGACACACCTTCCTGTCTGCTGCCATTAACCAATATTTTAAGAACAGGCTTAATTCAAAGCAGATTTAGCCAATTTTCTTCTATGAGCACATTATGTTCAAAGCTCCCAATGCATCTGCATAAAAAGCCCACGGAAACAACCCGATACCGATTTAGCAACTGTTTTGATGCAACATCATCCAAAATAATAAAAATCTGTTAAAGATCTTACCATTCCGTCCCTACATACTGGTCCCCCTAACAACATATATTAAAAATGTGGCTGTGAAATAGTTAATAGGAGGCTTCATTAGTTACCATATCAAAACCACAAACAATAACAAAATAAGCAGGAGGTTTAGAACTGTGGAAAGGATCTGGTCCTGTTCTTGCCATCAAGAGTTAAATTAAGGAAGCCAGTGATTGTGTTAGCTGTAATTTAAACATGTTGAGCACTGGAATTATGTGCAGGAGTGCAGCTTGTTAAGATGGAAAAACAATGGACAGACATGTTTTGCATTCAGATCAGTGAAAACACTACCACAGTAATATAAAAGACTGCACAAACACCTGAATAATGCTAATATTTGGGGGAAAAAAGGAAGACTTATTTAAGAAACACTTCCTATTTCCTTAAGATAAGAGATTAAGGACCTTTGCCAGTTCTTACTGGAGTCAGTGGAAGCTCTGCCACAGCAGAACTGGACCTTGGAATGAGATTGTCATGTTGGCAAATGACCATTTTCTAACTTTGTGGCCATAGCTGGTTTAGCTTTTATTGCAGACCATTGCTTGGAGCTGATGTCAAAGTAGATAAAGCAATCTTCTTCTTTTAGCCATTGCTACAAGAAGCCTTTCAGACTAGCAGTTGAATCTCCTTACCCTATGAGGTACATAACCTTTTCCTCTCTCCACTACAACTTTGGCTCTATTTATTTAAGTATGTACAGAAAGGAAAAAGGAAAGCAGTTCTTATCAAAGATAAAGAAAATCCGGGCACAGACTCCATAACAAACAGTTCCTGGGCTTTCCTACAAGAGTGACATGCTTTCCTGACAGATTTGCTAAATTGTCCACAACAGGAAAGTGGAGGGATGCATTCCATGCTGTGCAAAATATCACTCAACATCCTCACCCATGTGTATGAGATCACACAGCAGAGATCTCCATTTTAAATATTTTTGCAGCTTATTCTGAGGGGAATTTAATTTTTTTTCAAGACCAAGAAGTAGAAGCAAAGATCTCCTGAAGAACACACTGACAGCAGCTCCTCTTTTCTAGTGCTGGAAGGCTAGATCAAAAATCTCAGTTTCCCAAGCAACTGTAGTATGGCTGAAAGGGAAAGAGAGATATAGAAGGAAAAAAGAAAAAAAGGGTCCTAGGCAATAGTATTCACTGTTTTGGATGGAGAAGTCTTCTAAGGCAAGAAGAGCTTTAACAACCTGCTTTTGCAGGAATAAAGACCCACACGATGTGGCTCAAGTAGGTATAGCTATTATTCCTTTGCATATGACAAGTTCTTCCATTTCTCTCTACATGAAATGGACGTAGGAAACACCAACTCAGTGCTGACTGTTCCTAGCTGAGATGCTCACAAGGAAGACAAGATGTGAACTAATGAGCTAAAAAAATTCTGTGAGTCAAATTAAAAATAAACTGTCCCCTGAACACAAACAGCAAGACAGATTGAGATACCTCCTGCTCACAGTAAACAGCACGTGGACTCATGACAAGAGAATCCTGTCATCCCATCCCTCCCATCCCTCAATGGAAGGGAGGGATGTTCAGCAGGAACCAGTCCCAGGCCACTGAAGACAGCTGACAGTGTATTTTCAGCACTGAATCTCAGAAGAGTCAATTGTTGTGCAGTTCTGCTCGGACACGTGGGGTTATGTCATTATAATGGGAGCATAAACAAAGGCGTGAAAAAAAAGGAAAAGCCAAAATAAAACACAAAACCAAACCCTGCAGAAGCTGTCAAGTGTAAACTCTGCCAAGACGCATTTCTGCAGTGTCTTTGAGTTGGTGTCAGTTTGTTTTTCCATGACAGAAGCCTCAGCCTTTCATATCAGTAGCTATGAAAACACATTTTCAGGCCACCTTGCCTAGAGTCCCCCGTTGTGGCTGTTGGATAACCATCTGTCTTGTAAGTGGCTATTGTTACTGTGATCTGTCTCTTTTGTACCATTATCTTGCTCAAAAGCCTTTTCGGAAAGCAGTCCATTAGAGCAGGGAAAGAAAAACCTCGGTGCATGGCCATGCCGCAGAATCAATGGCTCCCTTTGATCTGCAAGCTCAGTCAGTGCTAAAAATTTAAGAAACAACAAGGTTTTGCTTTGCTAAGCAAAGCCTGTTAATTTGGCTCATCTGCACTCATAGCATCTTACTGAAAATGCCATCTGTATCAGATGTTTTAAGACTTTGGTGCAATATTCACTTAGCTTAGATAAATAATTTAGTAAGAGTCATTAAAAAATAATCAGTGAATTAATTTTCATAGTGTACATCTATGCGTGTAATTTTTAAAATCCAGTCCTCTACTACCCTGAATGATGGTAGTGAGAATATTCACAGTGGATGAAGAAAATGCTGGTGATTGATGGAATAAGACTGAACATAGATTTTTCTTATTTTAGTCATAGAATTTCTTCTGAAATCTATTATATGTAGTTGAGTCCTATTACTGGCAAGAGCAAAATGCATATGCACTACATGGAAAATAAGACCTTTTATGTCTGTTGCAGGCCACACATATAGTACAGAAACTTAGCTCCTATCATGACAAAAGAAGTCCACAAAAACATCATTTCATGCTACCGAAGGGAAATCTTCTGTGCTGATATAAAGGGCGGGAATGTATACCACTGAAATCACTGTAGCTAGCTATAAAACACTACGCAATATATAGAAAAACTCTAGGAATATATAAAATTTACCATTAGGGACCTGAAAGTGCAAAGAGTACACATAACTAAATACTGAGTCCTGATCTATAAAATCCTTTATGAACGGCATACAGCTGTTAATTACAAAGCATCATTCAGACCACCAAATAACAAATAAAACAAATTTTAAAAAGTATTGTTTAAGAAAATCAAAACAACGACAGCATTGGGAATGTGATCTTTGGGACTCAGAACACCATTTCTACCTCAATTCCTACCAAAGCCAAGAAAAATATATGCTTGAACGGGGTAACATAAATAAGAATGCAAGCCACAACAGAATGCCTCAGGACTATTGCCTCTTTTTGTCTCAGCCTTTAAATCCAGGAAGCCATTAACTGTTTGTTCTTAGGCATCTCACAGTATTTTACGGGGATCTTTCAGGAACTAAATACAGGTCTAAAGAAAGCCTTTGAACCTCCTTCCCATGATTGTTTTAGGCATTGTGTGGAGTTATACAAATATTTTTTGTGTGAAAATTGAAAGCCCTAGTAAATATTAGATTTTCTATTACCTTTTGAAATAAAGAACATAGATGGCTTAAAGACAAAAGTGAATTTTATAAATACAAAGTTAATTTCAACACTGAATTTTGTCTTTACTCTCACATAACCATTACCCTGAATCAAACGTCAGTATGCCACAATGATTCAAAATACTGACGCTCTACTACCAGCTACTTTCCTGTTTTCCTTTTAAGGATATGATTGTCCTTAAAATATGTACATAGCAAGCAGCCAAACAAACCACCAAGAGATTTGCAAAATGTACTTACACTGGGTATGCAATAGAAAGCTTGAGAGAGCGACTGGGGAGCACCTGGCATCGGCAGGCAGGGCGGCCGCCCTCCCACCCACGCTCGACTGCCAGCCCAGGGCTCCTTGCTCCAGGGGTTAGCACCGTGGGGGGAAGCCGCCCACCAGCATGCAGAGGATGGAGGAAAAACATGGCAGAAAACAAAGGAGAGAGAGAAAAATGAAGGGAAGACAAAGCATTTTAATGATGGTTCGTGTTAATGGTTCCGTGAGAGGGAGTTAGTCTAGTGTCATATTGGTTTCTCAATACAGACATGCCACAACGCGAACAAAAAACATATATGATGAATAATTTGCCACACACAAGTCCTGTACAGACGACAGCTGGTATCTCCTAGTGGTTTTAAAGATGCACCACTCCTACTACCTGTACTCACTGCTTCCAATTTTTATGGTACTACCCCCACATCCTCCCTCCCTCTCAACTTCCAGTACCCAATAGAATCTTTCAGCACAATTTGTCCTTAGAACAAAATGGGGAACTAGGATTTTTCCGCAGAGTTGTCATGCAAGGAAAGATGTGTCCCTTACAGTCGAGCAAAAACAAAAGAACAGAAAAAGGAATGTTAGATTTAGGGCTGAGGAGCGGGATAATATTCCATGTTCTGTACATACGTCCTTTTGAGGGTATTTCAGCTTTAACTTTCTAAAATGCACAAGCAGAGTCAGGCCAAATGCAAATCCCTTTCTCAGGCGAAGGAAACCATCGCCAGCACGTTTGGAGGCAGATCCCCTGAGCCTGTGCGTGGGAGCGGGCACGCATGGCTGTGCTCACATGAGCATGGTGCACATACCCTGGGAGGAGGTGCGTGTGACTACACATGCATATGTACAACACGACTGCGTGGGGAGGCAGAGAGGAAACCACACACGTACACATAAGAAAGAAAGCATATAAAATAATCTTCCTTGAAGTGTATTAAGGTTCTTTCTCAAACCATGAAAACAGGGACTGGTCAGGAAAAACTAACACTTTCACTGGCGTGTTGCAACTCGGTATTAAATCCTGCAGCAATTTCAGGACTAGATGCCAATTTTACCTTTGTGACTCTAAGGTCATTTCCCCAGTGAACCATGAACCACACATATACATATATACAATTCTTACTATGGTATATCCTGGCTTTTTATGGTTTGGCTATAACCTTAATATCCTTCAAATGTATATTCTGTATATTTATTTTCCTTTTTTCTTTTGATTTTAGAGACAATAAAACCAACTGCTATGTAAGATCAGACCCATTAGCTTCAGTGATGTGAATTTAGGATTCTCTGCATAATATAGACATGTATATTTTTAAAATGTATATTATTTTTTAGATACACTGGAGTATATATTTTATATTAAATGTGGTCTGATGATTAAATATGTATATCAAAATATTTTGTAAATACATAACATTTACCTTTAAACTTCAGTGAATTTTGGAGCTTTTTCAGTGTATCATAAAAATATGTCCTCAGGCACATTAAAACCCTATTAAATTTCTTTAAAATGTTGCCAATGCCCATGTACAGTAGCCACTATTTAAAAATGTCCTGGCCATTAATACATTTCTCATAAGATACAAGCTCATCAGACCATTTTATGCACCACTAGCTTACCATATTTTCTTTCTCTTTCTTAAAGTAAAATTATTCTGACATTATTAAGAATGAAAATAAAAAGCAACAAGAACCCAAACTTTCTTTAAATAGTCAAAAACTAATTTTATATATTTTAAAAAATAATACTTAAAAAACACATTTCTTTGCTGGGTTCCTTCTCTGTAAGGTTTAAGCCCAGAGCAACTGTGTCTAAACCCCTGAAAATAGAGGTTTGCAGTGGCAGTGCTGTCAGAACCTCAGCTCTGAGCCATGGAATGTGCCACTAGGATAAAATCAGCACTTCAGACTTACTTATCTGGGGATGCATGAGCCCATACAAACCAGAGTTTTGCTCTAATTTAAGGTACTTACACAAAGTTCTATCATTTTAGAACTGTAAAATTATCTACCTATAAAAACTAACTTTTGCTTAAACTCTAGATAATAAGGACGGGTGACTTTTTTTTTCCATAAAAAATCTGTAGCATTGAGTAAATCTGCTAAAACATGTATATATTTACACATGGTGAAAGTTATTGTATAAATGTGGACAGTGTGTATATATTGGCATTTAGTAAAATGTTTCCCTGAACCTGATTGTATGCATTATCTGACAAGTATTGATGTAAACATCTGAATCTATGTCAGGTGTGTCTGTTACCCATTTACATTAGACCAGATCAAAACCAACCAGAGAGACAGACAAACAAAAATACGTTTTCCTGTTAGACAAGTCCACCTAACTCCTTAGTTAGCTCCTGCACACAAGTCAATCAAGTCTGCTGCTGAGCAGTGCTCTCGTTCCTACAGCAGGTAAAATACCTGTTAGGTTGGTTGTTTTTTGCTTGGCATTTTTTTCCAACATCTGGTAGAGCAAACATCATTTTCAGAGCCAGGCACCCACCCTTCACTCCTCCCCCAGAAATGATTAAAAGATAAGTGTATTGAAGAACCTCTCATGTTGCTCCTTTTTGTAACTTTGTTCCTTTGAAGAACTCATGATACTGCTTTGCATGAGGAAGGATGGTCATTTGGGCTCATAATCCAAGTCCTACATCCAGAAAGGTGTGTAAAAATGAACCTCCCCAGAGTTTAGTGTTGCAGAAAAAAGATACAAATGTAAAAAAAAGTGCTCAAAAAGAAGTCGACTTTTTATATTCAGCCAAACAGTCCAGTAAGAAGAGATTCAGAAGTGCAGGCCCACGGAGTACAGTGAAGGAAGCCTTTTAGGTGCCTTTCTTCAGGTGACGCAAAACTAATTCATTATCTGTGGTCCCGTATGCAGACTTTCACATATTGACCTCGTTGTCTGTCTTTGTCTCCACCTCTTACACAACTACTTTTTGGCACTGTCCTGGTACGTGGCAGCTTTCACTGTTGTCCCTGCTACACCCCTGTTACTGACCCGGCGTACCAGTACTTTAGAGACAGGGATTTTTGTTCTGTGCATCTCGCTCTTGGCCAGGTGATGGTGTGCCACGTGATGGCTGTTACTGGCGTCTGCTCCATGGCTGGCAGGATGCGAGGAGAGGTGTTTAATGCTGATGGGTATCTTGGAGTCCTTCGCTGTGCTTGAGGGTGTTTTCAGTGAGCTCGTGGTTGTTATCGGCGACACGGGTTTGGAGCGTGGCACGCTGGTGACTTCTTCGTTGGTAGGCCCCACTGGTGGGTTCTCATCCGGCTCGGCATAGAGGTCATAGAGAGCATCCCCACTGTAGCTGTCCCTGGGAATGGTTTCCTTCTGGATGCTTGTGGAACCATCTTCCTCGGGACCAGGGGTGGTGGAATCCCAGTAGCCCTCGTCACTGTTTGGGATGCCTTCGTGTTGCTCCTTCTCTCTCCCCTTCTGCTCCTCTTTGTGGTTGACGTGTATGGCAATCTGGTGGAGGTCACCACGCTTCACCACCACCCTATTCTGGGCCCCTTCGGTACCTCGGTTTTCCTTCAACTCCTCGGGCTTCTTTGTCCCTCCTCCACTTCCTCCTCCTTCTGCCTGAGTCTCGTCTTTCTGTGACAGCATATCCCAGAACTCCTGCAGGCAGGTGTCATCCACCTGGTCCGGGCTGGCCATCTCCTCCCCTCCTCCCTGGTAGGCCACCATGGTGGGGTGCTTCTTGGCGGCACCCAGCTTGCCGGCCACGGGGGTGCTCTTCTCGCAGACGCCACTCCCGCCGCCCACATCCTCCTCGTGGTCCGCAATAATATCTCCGCAGCCTGTAAGAGAGTCAAAGCTTTTCAGTGAAGTCACGTCAGCAAACATCAAACAAATACGATCAATCGACTGCTCTGAGGGTGGATCAACAGAGGAAGGGTCAGGGGCAGCTGCCGTCTCTTGACCGCTATCACAGTGAGGTTCAACAGGGGGGATAGTCGTTATTGGAATTTCACCTGTTATCGCCGCATCCTTCGCAGTCCCAACCTCTACGGCGCCTGGCTCCGGTCGCTCGCGGCTGAGCTCCTCGAGT